AGCGGTCCTACTACGATTACACGCGGAGGTAGCTATCAGGTCAGTCTTCGCATTTTCCAACAGGGTTAAAAAATTCGCAATTCAAGGTATGTCAGAGGTACTATATTCATAAAATGTGACCATGTAGCTGAAAGCATATTGCCGCTATATGGCGCACCGAAGATATGAAAAGGAAAAATCTGAAAGGCTCAAAGCGAAGCCCGAGAAGGTGCACAAGTAGAGAATTGAATATGAAAATGTGAAAAAATTGTGAAGTGCTTCGGTATAAATAAACACCTCCTGTAATTTCCTATATAGCTGCATCTCCATCTCAAATCCAATTGCACTAGTAGCTTCATCGAGGAAAACAATCCGTGGTTTTGTGTAGAAAACACGTGCCATTGAAAGCCGCTGCAATTCACCAGGCGATAGTGTTTCATTCCTATAATAATTACAAAATTTTCATGTAAACTATCCTTAGTGGGTATTTCAAGCATTTATGTATATCTGGCAAGTATCTGCTAAGCATTACTTATTATCAGTGAAAGGACTCAATCTCACCAGTCCCACTCCACCGGATGATCGAAACCCTGGCAACGCTCCAGTAAGTGCTCCATTTTTACCCATTCAAGAATTTGCGTTAATCGCACAACATCTGAATATAACAGTTCTCGATAGGATAATAAGTGGTGAAGAGCGTAGCTGCAGCGAGTTTCATGGATGCACATGATTAACGTTGCGTTTGTCGACTTTGTCCTCACCCTTCTCAACAGGTAGCGCCTTCAATGGGTAAACAAGTTGCTGTCGTAAAGTGACACCGCCAGAGGGGAAGTAACACTTTTGTGGAACAAATAACAAACTTTGAGGACGAACACGCCAGTGTCGATCCACTTTACCTTCAATAAATAAAAGTCATAATAGGAAGAAAGCTGATAGTAAAAGCGATATATGGTATGGCACAGGATTCTCAGTAAGTCTGAGTACGTACCCGAAACATTGTTCCACAAACCACCGAACAATCTTAGCAAAGAGGTTTTGCCAACGCCGCTATCGCCAGTAATGAGCACGTTCTGCCCTTGGATAAGTTGCAAGGAAAGATCTGAAATATGAGGAAAAGTAGCCAAAGAAAAGCACACAATGTTAGTATTTGCAGCATCTTACTAGAGGTAGGATGGACAAAAACTTTGCTGTACCCTCAAATGTAAAATGCTAGTTTTTTTCAAAACAAACTGATTTTTTCAACAGACCATAGCATGCAACAAGACACAATTACTTACTGGCGATTATAATGTTGTGCGCATCGTTAGGAGCCGCTAAAGTCGCTGAATCTAGCGTCATCGCCACTCCGTCGTCAGGACACTCATCATCACGATCGTTTGTGTTGCCTTCAATATTATAACTCATTAGAATGCAGACATCAAGTTGCTACCATTTTAGTAATCATCATAATTACCCAAAAGAAACTGAGCCTCCTCCTCATCATCGCAGTCACGCTCCAAAGAAAGCTGTTTGCCATGTAACTCTTCGATCTAAGATACGTAACAATTAATCTGAAAAACAATATTTTGGTAAGGTATACCGCTTTATTTGTGACAGCTTTTTCCTCTTCTTCGCTTCCGATCACAACAACGCTCGACGGAACAGTAGAGGGTGGTCTATCTGTTTCAAGGCAGTCGGAATGCAAACGTCTTAATTCCTCTAGTAATTCGATGACTCTGAAAACATTTTCACGGACTGATGCCGCTACTTTCTGAAGCAAAAAAATAAAAGCCCTTCATCTTTAATCGGAAACTAAATAAACTGTTTCAGCAAAAGCAACCTCAGTCATTTACCTCGCGGCAGTAATTCGTTTGGGCAGGGTATTTATTTAACTTTGCCAGTGAATGTACGACAAAAATATAAAAACGCTAAAGTCAAGCTTACAAAATGAACTAGCAGCTGATGGAAATCAGTAACGTTGGTGTGGAGACTGATAACGTATAAGGTGAGGCGTAGCGACTATTATTTCTTTACATATCATATCTCAACAAGTCAAAATATCTTTAATTATCATATCCTGAAAGAATGAGTCCAACGATCAGAGCAAATGAATTCAGAAAATCTCAAGTTAAAGCTTCATATTCTAGGCGTCAGTTGTGGTGATTGACTATATCAGAAAAGATAGAGATTATACCTGTGAGTAACACCAGCAAGGTCTCCGAGTTTTTCCGAAAGTGTGATCAAGTTCGTAAAACTATAAATCAGATAGAGGTAGAAGAACGCATTCTGAAACAAATGATATTCACAAAGCAGGGTCCAAAAGCATTATTACCATATGTTCCATTGTTATGAACAAAACCCATCTATAAAAAACCCAATCTACCCATGAATTTTTGCCTTCAAAAACTCAATATGAGTCCAATATAATGAACAGAAACATACGACATAATGCACAATCACAAAATCTACCTCAGCACTCATAAAAACTTAAAATTACCAATCACATGGCATTCTTTTACGCTTATCGCTAATTTCCTCCAGTCAATTTTTTGCTAATGGATGCCTCTCAGCATCAGCTAAAAGGAGACAGCTGTTAATTTCACGAGTCGCAGTAGCTCAAACGTTCGTTCGCAACATGTTACATCGAAAAAACACCGCTCCGGCTTCAAAGAGTTTAGCGAAATAGGGAAGGTAAGAAGAGCTGCTGAGGTGGGTTGAGTTAGTAAAGTAGTACTAAGTCTTTATCTGGGTCATTAGTATTATGCAGGTGTATATACAGAATTAGCGCAATGTTAGCGGTTTTAATAGGCTCTACCATCATAATTCAATGGTTCAAACTGGGCTACAGTGTCCCATGACTACGACATATCGCAAAGTATCATAACAACTGCCTTCACTTTTTCATAAACAAACTCCAGCTGCGCTGCCGAAATTACTGTACGTTCCAAGGCAAATATATAGGACATTTGTTGTAGTGGAGTAATCACTTCCAATCGTATGTTCAAATCAAACTTGATAAAAAGAACAGCATAACTTTTTGGAAAGGGGAAGCAATGAGCGGAAATGGAAAACGAATCAAATCAAGCACTCTCGATCGAAAATGAAATTAAAGGCATATAATGTCGAGGAGCTTACCATTGATACCACTCCATTTAGTTCAGTACCAGATAGTGAATCATAAGTATGTGTCATGAATATAGGAATTGCAATGATTAGATACGATAAGGTTCCTCCAAAATAATCAAATATGTTAGTAACTACACCAAGAACGAAACGCCATTCAACAAGTTTTTGCTGAAATAAACTGCTCGACATCAAAATTAGCAACAAATAGACTCAAACGGTGTGTCTCAGCAACCTTCGTTTTCAACAAAACTTTCAACTTCTGGTTAGCCATAATGTTTTCGATAAGTCCAGACTGATAAAAGGCAATTGACTCCACATTTGTCCTTACTTCCATATGACGTTGACTAAAATACATTATTCCAGCAAAAAATTTTAGCGAAGAAGATAAAATCGAAACTAACCGAAAATCACCCTCTCGCCTTTCAGTCTCGTTGACTAAGCCCACTATAGGGGATAAAAGATAACGGTTTACAGTTGTGACAAGCGCAAAATATATATAGACGGTAAATGGACCCATCCATCCAGAGCTAGATTAACAACAATGTTTACCTTAGATTACCGTATTATCTTGAAAAAAAAA